TTTGTGGTCCAGGGTCACATATAGTTCTCAAATCTGATTGGCAGAGTAGTGTTCAATGAGCACTGGGAATTTTCGCTCCTTGTATTGCTCCATTTATCTGTATTTGCATGCTCCTGACAACTGTAAAACGTGAAAAACTGTCTCTGAAAGTTACACTGTTAGTGTAAGTAGGTGACAGCGAGCGACTGCTTTCACAATTGAGTAACTGAACCAGTCAACCGTTCAAAAACCCTGAGTCGTAAGTCGTTCAAAAACTGACTCGTTCAGGAATAAACAAGTGGTTGTTTATAAGGGAGTGATTGAATCATTTATTCAGCAAATTTGTTCAAAACATTGATTTATTCAGGAACAAATGACAAATTACCCTTTATGAACATCAGTGATCATCAAAACTGATTTGTTCAAAAAATGAATAATTCATGATGGAAACAAATGATCAGTGTAGCAGCGGCTCGGGTTTTGCTACACCAGCCATAGTTTAAAACTTGGTATTTGTAGTAAAATTGTGGTTATGCAAATGGTAATAAAAAAACATGGTTACTCCACTTTTACTATAGTAAAACCATGGTTAATTTTAATAAGAGCGTTTATCAAGCAAGTGTAAATTGTAAACTGTAAATTCAACAGGTATGAAATAAAATAAGAAAGTTTTCTAAGAAAGAAAAAACCAGACAGATGTGAATTGAGCAAATCTTTTCAAGTGTAGATACCAAGGAGTTGTTTTACATTGTTTCTCAAAGTGAAATTGCGCTTGTATACCACCCGAGTATGTTGTTTTTATAGTTATTGTTAGTATGTCAATGAAGGAACATATAGAAACATGGCAGATAGTATGTTTTGGTATGTTTTAATATACATCTGCCCTATATAATACACTACATCCTTTGGAAAGTACCTGATATCAGACACAGCAAGACAAAACTGCCCCCCAACCTGAAATCTGCACATTTATGGCTAAATGTGTGTATTTTAGGATAAAGAAATGCTAATTATAGGGTTCTTCATCATGCACAGATGGACTATCGTTTTCCTTCTGATAGTACAAGGCACGGGATGCCTTTGATGATGCCAATTCCAACAGGATTATGGGATTTTGTAGGGGTTGATGTTTGTGGTCTGGTAATCTTTTAAGCTGCTTCAGTGGACAAACCACCTTACACACATAAAGTTCATACACCCACACATTCTGAATACACACACAGTTATTCTCTATTCTGAATTCAGTCTTGAAGTCGTGGCTGCAATCATAGACTGATGGACTGAGCGTAAAGGCCAGAGTTTCCTTATCAAACCACGAACTGCACCCTGCTGGGTGGAAGCCCGTCCACAACACCTTGAGCATCTCTTTCTCTGCTCACAAAGACCAATGAAAGCATCTGGCCTTTAGTGTGAAATCATCCTGGCGGCATGATTTATGTAATTTCTGGTAAGAGAATCACCCGTCGTCCGTCTCTATTGCCGTATCGTTAATGTTACGACATTGGGGCCTTTTCAAATCAATGACACAGAGACTCTGGAGGTGCGCTGTGAGCTGTGGATTAATTAATTTCATTTGGCCGTGTGTTAATGCCTGATTGTGAATTATCCCTGCGCTCTGATTTGAGCTCTCCTTGAGATAATTTTTTAAATCCTGTTTGATGATAAAGGTCTCTAATCTGCATGACAAATACATTTTTAAATGCATTATATCAACGTTGCAAAGACGCACAATATCCAAATCCCAAAATCAGGGATTACAAAGAATAGTGCCGTTCACCCTTTACGTAAAAATCGTGCCTCTATAATTGAGTATTAGTCCATAATATGCCATAATCTGCAAACGAAGCTATGTGTGGATTTAGAGAGAGAGAGAGAGAGAGGCTGTGGCAGAGTTATTATTACACTAAATTCTAATCTAATTCTACTCGCACTGTAGTGATGCGTGTTTGTGTTGTTCCATCTCGCTTCTCTGATTGGCTGAGAAGCATCTGTTGAATGTTGATAGAAAACTTGCATTAAAGAGATAGTTCACCCAAAAATTAATCTTCTGTTTTCATTTACTCAGCCTCATGTTGAATCAAACCTGTAGGTCTTCTCTTTTTTTCTGTGGGATGCAAATGACTCATTGTATGAATAAAAACATTCTTCGTTCTTCAAAATATCTTTTGATGTTCCACAGCAGAAAGAAAGTCATACAGGTTTGGAACAAGATGAGGGTGAGTAAATGATGACAGACATGTCATTTTTAGGTGAACTATCCCTTTGTTTTGCGGTTGTCTTCACCAAGATGCATAAGAATGTATAGATGTAGCATTCATGGACCACCGAACAACACCTGCCAGTGTGACTGTTGTGACAGTTGTGACTGTTTCGCCGTTGTCTATCAGCTGTATCTCGACAACATTACATAGAAGGCTGAAGTATCTTATTCCTCTCTTATTCTTTCTTCCCCTATCAGTCTTATCTTTCTTTTTCTGGATTTATCTATGGAAATGTAGTTCTGTGATGTGAATCAGCTGATGCGTTTATCTATCAGACTTTTCACACCTATATTCCTCCATAGCTCTATTATACACACAGACATTTTAAAGATAAAAAATTGCACTATTTGCATAGTTATGGAGCGATAAGAAGCTCATCAGAAACCTTGCCAAGTCACGAACAGACACATTTATCTGTAAGATCTGCGTAAGATATTACTTTTCTAAGCGCTATTCTGGTTTTATGTCAAATTAGATGACTGTTATGAGTAATTGAAACAGATTTTTTGCCCTTTGTAGTTGTACTCACAGCTGTAATGAGCAGAAGCCCAGAACATGTAGATATATTGATAATAAGAACATGCTGACTTTCTCAGACGTTTGTTATTGTTTTCTTTTTATTTCATTTAGGTTTGTTTACATTTTTTCTCTTTTAGTTTTACATTTCGTCAATGGCTTGTTTAGATTTATACTTTTTTTATGGTACACTACTGAATGGCAAAGTTGCAAGTTTAATAAAATTTCTTAAGTAAAATTGTTGATTTTTTTGTGGGAAATTAATAGTTTAGATTAATCGATGAATTAGTCTACATAAAAATAGTCATTAGTAGCAGCCCTAGTTGAGTTCAGTCAAGTTTGTGTCTTAAAGGGATAGTTCACCCAAAAATTGTAATTCTGTCATCATTTACTCACTCTTATGTCATTCCAAACCTGTATAATTTTCTTTCGTTTTTTTCTGATGAACATAAAAGAAAATATTTTGAATAATGTGGGTAACCAAACAGTTGCTGGTAGCCAGTGATTTCCATAGTATTTTGTCCCTACTACGGAAATCACTGGCTACCGTCAATCATTTGGTTACCCGCAATCAAACAGAAGAAAGAAACTCATACAGGTTTGGAACAATTCGAGGCTAAGTAAATTGACAAATTTTCATTTTTGGTTGAACTATCCCTTTAAGCTAAATAAAGAACATTTAAAAATTAAACTACCATTGGAAATGGATGGAACTCTGTACAGTCTAAGATATTTGTGGGTGGTTTACAGTTATCGTCTTGTTTGTAATGGACCATAAATTCAATTGATTTTCATAACTTGCATCTTGTTTATACTATTGTAAACTACACAGAGCTGCTGTTTGTTGGAGCTTTTCAGTTGTTTGTGTCTAAAGGCTTATTTTTTAACTTAAAGGATGTTTGGGTGAACCTCAATGTTGAAAAACAGGATTTTGAATTGTGTTCAGCAGCCTATATGTTAGGGGACTGTTAGTGTTTTAGGGTATTTTGTATTCAATTAAAGTGGATCCATTCAGCGGAATAACAATTTAAAGTGTGTTTGTTCAGATGTTTTGCCGAGTATTTTCTCTAGTGGCTTTGTGCAAAATTATTTGCTCAGCTTCTTAGAAAAAAGTAATTCGTTTCTTTGCTTAAAATAAAAAAAATCCGTGTGTTTCCTCTCATTTTCATTGGGATTTGTAATCCATTGATCTACCTACATCTTTAGAGAACCTTTGTGCTGAGTCAATCTGAATCCAGGCTTTGCTGAAATGAACCTAGCTCACAGCCTCTCTGGGGACACGAGGACAAACAGTTATTGTATGAAAGTTACAGAAATGACTGGGTTATGTATTTTTACTTGGAAATAATTCCACCTCCATTAGCCACTCTCCGTACAGTGGGCTTGGTGCATTTTGAATGCTGTTTTGGTTTTATTAATAATTGATTTTCCAGCTTCAGCAGTTGTAAAACTTTTTGTGCTGTCACAGATGAAATTAATTTGCAGTCCCCCTTTTTGGAATCTATGATAAAATATTCATTACAGTGCAAATAAATACAACAAAGTACCTTAACTACTTTTGATTTGTATAAATATGAGAAAAGAATTAGAAATAACTGTTTAAATGAAGAATGAAAGAAGTCAGATGATTTTGGACTTATACCTCTTTTCCAAGATGCATTTGTGCATAAATGTAATGATTTTGTGCTGTAGTCGTATACTACGGGGGAACAATCCTCCGGTGTACAAAGCTGAGAATATTACTACTATTTTTCTATGCCACAGTGCCCTTTTTAAATAGGCACATTGTCAGATATGCACCCTGAAACAGCCTTGAATTTGAAATCCACTTTTTATCATTGTAAGAAACAAGGGTAACCATATGTATAAATGTATGTTTCCTAACCTGCGGCTCAACATCTATAAAATGTCATATATCATAAATGATTTATGTCCATTTTAACTAGATTTCCTTGAAATTGTTACACTGGTGTTTAACAGAGGAAATACATTAGCAGCATATGGCAATACACTGAAGAGAATTACATTTGCCCTGTGAAATCTGGACACATTATCCCACCTGTTCTCTGCGGGATGACCCTGACATTTGCTGCATTAATTGCCACTGGTTGATGAAAATTGACCATAAGTTCTATAATGGTCAATGTGCTTAACTGTTGTAAAGTAGTACCTATGACACATGGACAATCTAATTTTCGAGCCTAACTGTGTTTCTTTTTTTCTTCTCTTTCGTTCTCCAGCCTGTGAGCTCATGAATCAGGGGATACTGGCTTTGGTGTCGTCGACGGGATGTGCTGCAGCCAATGCGCTACAGTCTCTCACGGATGCCATGCACATTCCTCACCTGTTCATTCAGAGAAACGGAGACGGCACACCCCGCGCCGAGTGCCAGCTCAATCCCAGCCCCGACGGAGAGCGCTACACGCTGGCTGCCCGCCCTCCTGTGCGTCTGAATGATGTCATGATCACGCTCGTCTCTGAACTACGCTGGCACAAGTTCATCGTTTTCTATGACAGCGAGTACGGTGAGTGGCCCATCTCCAGTTGGGAGGCTGGTAGGAGGTCAAGGATGGGAGGGCAGGAGTGAAACTGATGTAAAGGGAGACAGTTACTTAGTGACATGACATTTAAAAAAAAAAAAAAGAAAGAAAAAGAAAACGATGCGATCCATCAGCAATGCTTCAAAAAAAATCCTTCATAGTACAAAGACATCAGCTCCGAAGTTAAAATTTGATGTAGGCAGCTGGACTCGGGCAGACTAAAAGGCAGACTGTCAGTTGTTAACTAGCTCCAGCACTGTAGTGTTTTGAAAACCATAAAACTTTCAAGATATATAAAATGTGGACTTGGATAACCTTCTGATTCCTTTATTGAGCCAGTGATGTTCAGCTCTATGTGAATCGAGATTGGCTGTCAATCCAGAATTGTATTTATGTCAGACCTCCGCTGTAACATTAAAGACTACTTTTAACCTGACCTCTCTCGAAATGTAACCTAATGTAACCAAGACTGATTGCTTTTTTACCTTTTACCTTTACCTTATCAGTGCATCCAAACCTTAAACAAACCTCTTTCAGCCTGATCCTGTTCAAAATTTTGGGGTCAGTATGATTTTTGTTTGTTTTTAAAGAAAAGAGAGATAGATCACACTGTAAAAAACAAACAAAAACAAAAACAAAACAATGAATGAAACGGGAATGAATCCTGAAAAAAAATGTATCACGGTTTTCACAAAAATATTAAGCATCTTTTTTCAGCATTGATCATAAGACATGTTTCATTATATTGATTTCCAAAGGATCATGTGACACTGAAGACAATGTCTGACAATTCAGCTTTGTCATTGCAGGAAGAAATTATATTTTAAATGTTTATTTTAAAAAAAGACAATGGTTATTTCAGATAGTAATATTTTACACAATATTATTGTTTTTACTGTATTTGAGATCAAATAATTCCAACCTTGGTCAGTGTAAGAGATGCCTTTTCGAAAATCTTACTGACTCCAAATTTTTGAATGGTAGAGTAAATGGAAAACATGTAGGAAACATTTTAATTCAAACCAGCAGATAAACATTGAAAACCATAATCCTTAAGACTGTCCCCCCAGGAGTGTGGTAGACATGAACGAACGTAATTTCACCCCTCTAGCTCATTTCTGTTTGTGTAAACTGAGAATGATGCAACTCACCCTGTTACAGGAATTCCCGGTCTCAATCATGGTTTTATATAAATCCAAACCTGCCCCTAAGATAATACCAGGCTTGAAGCACATTAGCTGATAATTATTCTTCTCTGTTTTCTAGTCCTATGTGACAGTAAAATGTATTTATGGGTTTGAGTGTTCCTGGAATCTGCTGACAAGTGTTACTACAGTATTTGCCGTTACATTAATAAGGTCTTTAGTTCTACAGCTTTAACTGTAAGTTGGTTGTTCAGACTGAAGTGCGGGGTGTATCGTTTCCTGAAAACAACACTTGTTGTTTGACCTTGAAGGTCTTGTTGGAGAAGGTCAAGCAAAAAGCTCTCTCATAAATATTCTTTGTACTTACTAATGACACCAATTCACACTTAAACTGTAAGAGTCTCCTCTGCAGTGCCGCAGGCTCTGTAACAATTAATTTTAACAAAGGATTTTTGGGTTTATTTAGCTTGCCTTTTTAAGGGATAGTTCACCCAAAAATGAAATGTCCTCACCCTCATGTTGTTTCCAAATATGCGTGACTTTGCACAACACAAAAAAAAGAAGCAATGTGGTGGCTCTTTTTGTCACGCAATTGTAATGAATTCTGAACACAAAACACAATAACAGCAAAATGCACTGCTGTATATTCCAAATAAAAAAAAAAGCCATATGATATTTTTGTTAGAGGAACAAACAAAAATTGAAGTCACACAAAATCCAACCTATAGCTTAATGAAAAAAAATCAGTGTCAAATTTTTGAAAGAAATCGGTCCTTTGAGTCTTTTCAATTAAATGGTTGATTAATTCTAAATGATTTATTCAAGGTTTCACAGCTTGCTTAAAGGGAAAATTATCAGTGGAAAATGACTTGTTCCTCACACAAAGCTGTCATATGGCTGCAAATAGCAGACGAGTGAGATGGACTACTTTTTTCGTTCTTTTTGAAGGTTGACATCCTTGAATTTTTCATTGTTGTTGCATGGAAAAATAAATGACAGAATTTTATTTTTAAGTGAACTCTAACAAGCAAGCAGGCCAAATTTTCTTTTGTTCCCATCTTATCATCTTAAAATCCCCATTATCCCAAGCAAGACTCTTTAGCCCATAGCTCTCTCCTTGGGTTGTTTGCGGTGTTAACAGGCTGCCATCACAGATTCAGATGTCTGGATAAAAAGCAACTCAGATCCATGATGGGGCATTTTAATCCCCCTAGTCAAAGCAGAGCTCCCTTGTGGTCCACATAGCTGAGATCAATTTCAGAAAATATGCAGCTACACTGTGCTCAAAATAGCTCAGCGTTTATGCTAAGGCTATATGTGCTACTGAATTTAGCTTCAAGCAGATTCTGACAATGGGCTGAGATGAGTCAGACCACCAAACACCCAGAAGCAGGTAACATCCTTCAAACCGTATAGCAGAGGTCAGAGGAAAAGCCCTAATCAAGACATAAAACATGATTGATGGTGGTGCAGAGCTCTCAGCACTGAGCATGGCACCCTCCTACAGGAGGACGACGGGATCACTCTGGATCTGTCTCATGGCCTGAAATACTAGACATAAGAGGCTTCTTGGCAAGGCCGTAGGTTTTATTTTAACATTGGATGGGACATTTTGTTGGTCATTTGTTTTTATATTTTATCTATCTGTCTGTCTGTAACGAGGAGGCGTGACAACGGTGTGGGGATCCAAACCCTGCAAACAAGCCTGCACTGGCCCTTTACGGGCCCACTTAGGGCAAGCCTAAGGGCACCCAGCGGGCAGCCCTCACTTAGCCCACACTATTAATCTACAACAGGGGTGCCCAACTCAATCTCCAGGAACAGGATGCACCCCTGATCTATAACAATACATCTGTTTCACTTTAAATACTTTTCAGCTACTATAACTTAAGTCTTTAGGAAAATCAGTTATTATACATCTGAAATGGATGCAGTCACCACATAAAATGTACAGTAGTCAAAGGAATTTCAAATCAATGGATTTATTAAATACAAAATAGAAAACATTCAATTCAGGTTAATACAGCAACATATAGCCACAAATGTAAATACACAAAAGTACAAAAAAAACAAAAGAAAGCAAACAAAGCAATGTAAGATTGTAGGATTTCGTCACGTGAAAGTTGATGTGTTCAAAAGTCTCGTCTGTAGTACATCAATGTCCAAACACTGTCCATAGTTTTAGTTGGCTGATAGCAAATTAATAATACAACCTCTTGTAATGAAAACAAGCCACAGCACTCAAACACCAGACTCTTCCTAACGAACAGTCAAAAATAGTCCAGACTATGGTATCATGTCGAAAAGAACGTTAAATCCATATTCAAACTGGACCATGATATGGTAACCTCACCAATAAAGAGTCCTTCTAAAATGCATACAAATACACTGTGTTAAACTCTTAGCATCAATCCAAACATAGGCCATACATACATGTACCATCTCTGCAAAAAACATCAGCAATGTGCACATTTAAATCCTCCTTAACTCCTTTAGACTGGGCTTGAAATGACACATTTCCCGACCAGGACACAGCACAATGTTTTCAGCAGGTGAGCCATGCTGGCTACTGCTGCTTGCTATTGCTAATTCTCTCTACCACATGGCTTTAATTAAGGAAACCTAAAACACTCTAGCATCCCTAGTGGTAAGGAAGGAAACTGCCCACAAAATTCTTATTAACAGGCTCATGTCTGGCCCACACTGGGCCATCATTGGATTAATGTGGGCAGTCCCATAGTGTGGGCAGCTCACAGAGACCCTACGGTGAGCCCAAAGCTGTGGGCCTCACCTGGGCAAGCCCGCACTGGGCCTGTTTAGGTTTGGTGTGGGCTGGCCCTAGCCCACTGTGCCCGCAAAAGCAGCATGGGCCTTGCAAGGACATGTTTGCATGGAATGCAAGGCTTTATTCCAGAACTAATTCCAAGGCATTTAGGGTCAAAACACCAGCGAACAACAATAGCAGAGGCACGGCAAAAGGGTTATCCATAAAACAGGCAAGGGTCAGGGCAGGCAGCAAGCAATAACAAAAACAAGGTAACAGTCCAGAGTAAAAAACACAAAAACAAGGAAACTAGGAACACAGGAAAACACAGAAAGGCTAACCAACATTTAACCCTTTGAGCGGTATGGTCCCACATATGGGATTTTTATTTCCGTGCCCCTGGGAGTATGGTCCCACATATGGGATTTAGAACGTTCGGTGACGTCACATAACTGCCATATTCAAACTGTGCTTTCGCGCTTTAGCTGGCGCTGAGCCAGAGAGAGAAGTACACTGCGCTTGTCATATCACAATTATGCAGTGTTTTTAACCACATAATGTTTATTTTAGGTTTCAGACATAAATACACATAAGTACTAGTAAAACAATACATTTAGAGTTTGTAAAATAAACATCTATGGAAGCAACAATAACAATCCATTTAAATGTAATTTGCCGATGTTTTATTCATATCAGATACATATAGTGTAAGGAACTATAAAGTTCACTCTATTCTTCACCCAGTTCACCGGCCACTTATTACTTGTATTTCGGGAGAAATTGATGAATTCACGTGCTGTAAATCCAACTGACAGGACTCTGAACTGCAGCGCGAACAAACATGGCGGCGCCCATCTCACTTTTTAGATCATGATCAAGATAATTTAGAAAGGTTTTTAAATGACAAAACACACTCATTTACACATATTTGTGAATCGGAATATCAGATTGTTCATGACGTGGTATGCAAGTTTGTGAATATTTTAAATAAAAAAAGGAAAAACGAAATAAAAGCGATCCATCTAATGCTTACTGGAGACGCGAACCGTTTCAAATGATTCAGTCAGATTTGGTGA